TAGTCCCCCGCTTTTCTTGCAAAGATAGACATAATATAGGTATTGAAAATTGGGGCTTACCTTTTTTCGTTGGGTTAGCCCCCCCCCCCCCTTCAATTAGCCACCCCACTTTCATTTTGCTTCCGACGCCTATGGAGTGGGACAGGATTTTTTGATATTTTCACGAGTGCGAAGCACGAGTGAAAATATAAAAAAAATCCTGTCTCACGAGTGAAATAAATTCCATATTCATCTACAAAACATTGAATTTTCTGTTTATTACATTTTCTTTGATTTTTCCTTTGCCTCTGTCTTTTCTTAACACAGTGTCCTAGCTAGGTTTGACGTCATAGTTGAGCGGTTGAGACGTCATAGCTTAGCAGTTGTGAGATTGAAAACATTACATAGCATGGATTTTAGCAACATATTTGGGAAGAAATTTGCAGTTTTAGTTCTATCAAGATGGTTAGTTACTATCTCTATCTTATGACAGGCCAAAAATGATTTTTTACTTACTTTGATATCCTTTCACACTGTGAGAGAATATCATTTTGGTATCCTTTCACACTGTGAGAGAATATCACTTATTCAATAAATAAATCACAGTATTTCACTGTTGAAAATGTAATAAAGATATTTACTGAAAGTAACAAAGATTAAGGCCTCTAAGTAGGTTGTATATATATACTATAGGGGCCATCGAAGTACACGACAGATAAGATTTAGAAATTAAGCGCATCTTTAGGTCTTCGACTAAGTAATATAATGACGAATTATAGTGTTTTTGATGTTTACGAGGATTGTCCATAAAGTCCGTGGACAAATGCTAAAATTTTCTTAATAATAACCGCACCGCTAAACGTAATATTTTAATTTGGATCATGATATAGTAAATATATAAAAATTAAAACATTACAAACTAGTTTACGAATGTTATTTCGGTCATTCTACGATAAAAGGACCAATTCAGGGTATAAAACATGAAGAAAAAAAATAATTGTATCAAATAGCAATATGAACATCATAATTTTCTAAAGGACATACGGTGAACTTGGAAAAAAAGTATTGTCCACAAATCTGGTATCGTTAAATTTTTACAACAATTTCAATATATGTACCATTGATTGTAAGGTAATGTTACGGAAGTTAATGCTTGATCATGTCTTATTATTTTTAAGTAAAGCTGAATTTTTCGTTTCTGATGTTCAGTATAGAACGCTTTTTGTATGATTCATGAAGTTTCGCATAAATTCGAAATTAATTTAAAATTTCGGGGAAAATATCGAAGTTAATCGTTACGGAAGTTAATTTCCATCAATAAAAGTTAAAATTCTCGGCAATAGTGAAAATTAACATTTGTTTTAGTATTTTACACAAAAGTATGAAGCATTTCGCTCCCAAAATAATAATAAAAAAAATTATACCTTTAATGCAAAACTTTCCTGAATTACCGTTACGAAAGTTAAATTTTTAAGAGAGACAACTGTTTTTGTCTGATTCATTTTGTTATATGAAAAAAGTAATGGTCTAAAGTAGCTGACTCGCAACTAGAATCGATGAAATAAGGTTCCATGGTCACTTTCAGATAAGTTTCAGTTCTTTTTGAAATCTGAATTCCGTGCGTGAAATTTAAAACAAAATCGTTATGGAAGTTAATTGTCTTCAGCGACATGCTATGATTTCGCATGAAAGAAGATCCATGCATTTCTTAAAACTTATTTTTAACATTCATTGCAATCAATTCGGAACGCTTATACGGCTGAAAATTTCATCTTGAAATTTGCAAATGAATGAAGCGACAATAGGATTTGCAGTGGAATACGTTTTTCAACATTACACGGTGTTCAAATAAAAAACTATTAATTAACTGCATTTGATTATAAAATTTAATTAACTGATTTGATTTGAACACATTTTATTATGTAGAAACATAAATGGATTGGGCAGCAGGCATAGCCTATATAAGCCCTCTCCACAGGTACAAGGTTCATTTAAATTATACATAATACTACATGAAATAGTTACAGGTACATATAATAAAATTGATTTGAAATTAAGCAGAAAAAAAGTGGGGGAAGAAAGATTACCGGTTTTATGAGAAAAAAGAGGTAAAAAATAATAAGTGGGAAATACAGCAAATTAAGATAAATTATATGAAATACAATGCATGTGTATTTGAATAATAAAATTACATAATTTCATATCATCTATGAAACTTTTAAGTTTGTAAAATATATTCATGAACACAATCAAATAATTTAACATTTTTAGCATAAGGAATATATTACTATTACCAAATAACAATAGATTTAGAGATAGAGGATGTTGCAGGTCTATACTAGATATACAATTCAATCGACATAACATGGACACTCAAAGAAAAAAATGATACACATTTCTAGTATGAAAACCAGTTTTCACATTTGGAACTTTCACTTATAAAATCTTTCTGTAAATCAGCATTTAAACTACTAGCATTATTTCTTAATTGACAGTGAATAATATTTTGACTACGATTACCATGATTAAAAAGCTCATTGGGAATTCTGTAATAAGCCTTTTTAATAGCATTAGTGAAAGAAGCTATAGTTGGTAGATTTCTATATGATATGGTAAATTATTCCGTAATTTAATTGTAGATGGGAAATAACTATTCATATATGATGTACGTTGTTCTAGCTTGAGGGATAAGAAAAGTAAGACCATCATTATATTTCTTAATGAATATGGGGTATGGGGGGATACAAGGTCTTAGGATATCTTGGAGATATTGTGGTGCTATCCCATACACTACCTTGTAAAATAATATAAATTTATGTACTTTCCTTCTGTCAGATAACGTATTCCACCCCAGTTCATCATATAAAAGTGTTCTTGATAAGTTCACTCTCATTCCTGTAATAATTCTTGCAGCAGTGATTTGAACTTCTTCTATAATAAAGATGATTCCTTTTCATTACAATTATCTCAAACAACATCACCATATTCTAAGACTGGTCTAATAAATGACATATATATTTTTATTAACGCATCTCACAAAGAGAATAATTAAACATTTGTAAAACATTTAAACGTATACATGCTTTTTCATATATGATTTGTATGTGAGATTTCCAATTGGCATCAACTGAAAGTTTAATCCTAAATGTGTGGGATTGTTTGAAGGTTCAAACATCGGACCATTTACACCAAATTTAACATTGGGATGGGAAATATTTTTTCTGGAAAAAATTATGTTCACCGTTTCCTTTGGGTTAAAGTCAACTATACATTGTTTTAACCACTGATCCAACTTCTCTAAGTCATTTGTCAGTGAGTTTGCAGCACTGACTATATCATTGTCAACAATAATGTAGAGTGAGGTATCATCAGCAAATAAACGAATGTTGTTTGTTAAGGAGGGATTCTTCTCATATTTCTTGTATTTAAAAATTAATGAAATTTTCCTAAATTCAGAAGACATTATCATTAAATGATGGTATCATTTAGATTATAAATTTGACCGTTTTATTTTAAAAGCAAGGTCGGGTCAACGTCATTATCTTTTTCCTTGACCTTAAGAATAAAAAAAAATACCATTGCCAATCATGCGATGCCGACTTCTATTTCAAAATATTAAATATTTTTCTTTTTGCATAAAAAGATATTACCATATAGTGTCTATCAGATGATACTACCAAATTGACATAGATAATTTAACTAAAATAGATATTGGCTGATCCGAAATTTCCTCTATTTTTCTTAGATTTTTACGATATAGTAGTTATTTTTATATGCTTCGTATATTTAATTTTGTCTTAATTTAACATATGGTAAATTAGTCATATTAATATACAAATTGATACAAAAACAAAAAGTTTTGACCGTTTACTAAGAGAGAAAAAACACTTTTTACTGATTTTTGGCTCAAATCTCTAATTAGATCGTAAGCTTTTAAAAGTAAACAAAATTGTAGTTTGTTTGGAAAATCATAATATACTGAAACGCAAAAGAAACGCAACAAGCAGTGATCTACAAATATTTGAATTTTTTATCTAATGATTTTCAAACATGAATTCAGTAATGTTAAACTCGATTTAAAAACATCAGAGATTTGATAAAAATGTTAAATGATTATCTTTTAACTTTAGAAAGTAACTCATATGAGGCGCCGTTTTGGTATTTACTGCCAAAAAGTGATATCACCTATTCGAATAAGTGATATCACCTATTCGAATAGGTGATATCACCTATTCGAATAGGTGATATCACTCATTCAAATTGAATAGGTGATATCACCTATTCGAATAGGTGATATCACCTATTCGAATAGGTGATATCACTTATTCGAATAGGTGATATCACTTATTCGAATAGGTGATATCACCTATTCGAAATGAATTGGTGATATCACCTATTCGAATAGGTGATATCACCTATTCGTGCTGAATAGGTGATATCACCTATTCGAATAAGTGATATCACCTATTCAATTTGAATGAGTGATATCACCTATTCGAATAGGTGATATCACCTATTCGCATTTCTTACAACAACAAATAATGAATGCTCCCTTCCTCAAGATTATCTAGATTTTCATTGGAACCAAGCAAATTCGGGCTGCGTTAGGGTCTGTAAGTCTCGTCACGTGACTCGCGAGATTTTTCGATAATATTAACTTCCAGGTACCTCACACATGGAGATGTGTATTGGGTCATGCATGTTTATGGTTTACACAAAGCGTATAAGGGAAGTTTAAGCAGTTGTACAAAGCTGGAGGGTTCTCCGACTTACGATGGATAAATTGAGGGTCGTAAAAGCTTGGGTGCGAGCAAGTAGGAGGAGAATTTCGATCGAAGTACAGGTAAACAAGTCAGAGAATGTCACCTGCTTCTTGGGTATTCTTGGGTGAAATAGAAGTCTTATATTATACATTTGTATCTGATTAGAATAGTTTTGTTATCATCATTCCAACTAATTTATTAACAGATTTTTCTTGAATTCGAGGATAATGATGTTATTACCAGCTGATTAAGGAGGAATAGTGTAAGTGTCAGATGGGTACGAATGTCATCTTGTGACAGCATCACCTTTGTTTGGGTAAATAATTTGTTCAGAAAACGCTTCATTTATCAACAAAAATTTAGCTGTTGCATGTCAGTAGGTCTAGTTTTTTAAGTATTCAATGTTTGAAAGCACTTATCAGGTCCAGTACAATCTTTTGATTTAGCTATATATATATATAGCTTTATTAAGCTGTTCAGAATAGCTTAATTTAGCTATTTTATCACACTTTTTCTTAAATGTATACTTTTCTCAGCATGCACAAAAAGTCGCACCTTGGTGCAGTGATGATACTCAACCTTGAACTCATCTGAAATTGATGCATTTAAAACTCACTCATTAAAATCTCCTTGCATACATGTGATAATTTTTAGGCCCAAATACTGTACAGCAGTCCTCAAAATACAGGAATTTGGGTGAAAATACTGTACACTGTTCATCAAAAAACTAAACAAAAAACTGTAAAAAAAAATATTGGACCAAAAGTCAATGTAAGAGGTTCATTTTTTAAGCTCTTCTGAGCCAAAGGCCCAAAGAGCTAATGCTATGGCCATTTGTGCGGTGTGCGTAAACTTTTTAGAATATGGGCCATAACTCAAGAACCCTTTGGCCAATTATTGTCAAATTTGTCACAGGGTATCCTTGGGCCAAGGGCTTCCGTTTATACTAAAACTAGGGTTGTGACCCTTAAACAAGGGGAGATAATTAGGAAAATAGAAACAAAAGAGACTTTGTACTCAAATTCTAAAAGTTTTTGGGCTACATATGCAATTGATACAGTTACTTCTTCAATGAATTTATAAAGGAGGCCAATTATGGTCAACAAGATAATTGATTAATTCTGTACATTCAATGAGAAGCAATCATACTTATCCATGCCTCAATGCACACAAGGTAGTGGACAGTTACTCAAATAATAGAAATTTATCTTTTGCTTAAAAGTAATCAAAAGTTGCAAAGTTGGAGCTATCTTTGATTTTGCTTGTTGTTTCGATAGCCCATAGCACATATATGAATAGTCAAATACATGCAAAACTGCATATAAATAGCTAAATCAAGCTATTTTGAATAGCTTAATAAAGCTAAATAGCTATTTCAAGCTATATAGCTAAATTAAGAGATTGTACTAGACGTGCTTATTTCCCAATCCCAACGATAAAACTTTCTTTATATATTCTGCAAATTCTCTCTGCATTTATCATTGAACAAAATTCATATGACTGCAATTATATGACCATATTCTTCAGTTTAGAGAGCATGTTATAGAGGATATTTTGGTTAAAGTTTTGGTCTGTTTCATGCAGTGTTTGAAATATTCTTTCATCTTACACAATTGTATACATTAAGATTTATTTTATAGCTAAAGTACAAGAGAACTGCAGCATCTAAGACTACATGTACATCGACTTTGAATAATCTACCCGGTATATCCTCAAAAAGGCAACTCAAATACAGGTATGAAATTGATGTCACAAAATAAGTTTTTGGACTTACATTTACTTATAATTCATATACATATAAAGCATATAAAAAATAAAAATAGAAAAGAATTAAAGGTTCATCAGGTGACAGCTCAATCATGTATGGAATATTATTAGGCCAAATAAAAAAAAAATGTGTGGTTCCCATTACCTGACCGTCCCTATTTTAGATCCCCGACCCTAAACTTTTTTTCGGCAATATTCAAATTTATTTTCCAGAATTTTCCGCGATTTCCGTCATCCACTTCGGTATTAGTTTTAGTTCCAGCAATGGCGGCCTCCATGCAAAAATCGTTTCAACACGTAGTGCAAGTGTTTGATGGTGTTAAATCTAAAGCAAGCTAGCATGGCGTGGCAGTATACCTTTTTCCAGCGCCATGTTTTTTTGTTTGTTTGTTTTTTGGTTGCCAAAATTAAATAAATATGCCCAAGAGTGGCGAGATTCAGTTAGTTGCTCTGTTTACAGCTGGTTTATAACAAGTGCATGCTGATTAGCCCCTTTATTATTTAATGCACGCAAAGGTGTGAAGTCAGGATAGGAAATCACTTCTCGCTTGAAAGCACACAGACAGCTGGCCAGGTAACGTTTTTTGGAGTTAGGGGGAAGATAACATGAGAAAACATTTATTTGATTGCATTGATTACGCAAGAATTAGCCCAATGTGTAAGATAGATTAACTTGTAAACTATTAAATAATTTATATCAGGATCCTTTCTTTTAAACCGAAAGTAGAAAAAAAAAACAGTTCATGAGGAAAAGTGAAAAAGAAGACTGCTGATTTTACATGAATAAAGTCAACTTGCAAAACACCAATATATATGAGAAATGAGCTTGGAAGTATGAAGTCTTCAATGAGGCAAAAAGGTTTCATGAAAGGATTTAAAATTTTAATAATATTAAATATTTGTAATTCTGACAAATTTGAATGATTCTATGTCATCTTGCTTAGGTGATTTATTTTGTTTTAAACATTACTGTACAAAGTGTAGGTGTCACATTCTTTTCCTCCGACAGCTCTTAGCAGAACTCTCATGTCCGTTTTCTAGTTTATAGTTCAGAATTTATTATTAAGTAAAATAAGAACTGTTCTGGATAAAAGTAATTAATTAATTTCATTTATAAACACTGATTTTAAAAAAAGGATGTTCACTTTGGACTTTATTTTTTACAAAAAGAAAAGATTGTGTTTTCATTATTTTTGATTTAAAAATATTTGTTTCATATTCATAACTAGGGTGCCCCCTTCCAATGTTGACTAGTATATTTAACGCCACATCGAAATGCCACTTATTTTCTCCTTCACTCTGTTCATCCACAAATAAAACATTTCTTTTCTGAACCATAGTTGGAAAAGACTGAATTCAAAATAAACAAAACATTTATTAGTTATGAGTTATATACTCAGCTCTTCACAAAATATTTCTGTTTTTTCGCATTCTATAATGTACAATTTTAGATTTTATATACCTGTATAAAGACTTCCGATAGAGAAATCATGATCTATATTTAAGATTTAATGTATAATGCTTAAGATATCCATTAATTTTACTTATAATATACAATTCTGAAATTAATATCATCCTTTAAAAACAAGGATAGCACATATTATCTTCGTAAACACTTAACATTCTAAAAAAAGAAAATATAATATCCAAATAACAGTTAAATAATTCAATTTGCTCATGCTGATTTTCTTCAAACATTGTATTTTCTAGATGAGTATGAACTCGAATGAATAGAATTGGCAGACAACTGTTTAAATACCCAAGACATTTTATTCACACATTAAAGCACATATCTAATCCATATGCTTAAGAGAAAACATATCTAACACTCTACACATAAAATAGTTCACTTATGCTAACAAAAAGAAATAGGTATTATTTAGAAAAATTTAGAAAATCATTTTGTACAAAAAAAAAAAAAAAAAAAAAAAAATCCCTACCTACCCTATTTTTTTGGAGGTGTAACCGGAACCACACATATTTTTTTGTTTGGCCTTAATGCTGAGTTTCCAAATGCAAAATTAAGGGTATTCGATATATTCCATACAAGTTGTCAATCATTTATTAGTGATTTATACAGAGGTTCATTTGCATATAAATGTTGTTAACATTGTTTTACTGTCTTTATTAACTTGTAATACTAAATTTTATAAATTGACAAATTCATTCTTTTTAGAAAGTGCATATAATTTGGAAAAGAGACCATCAATCCACTGGGGGGTATTGCATGAAAGCAATGATTATAGAATATTGTAAGGCTGGAGGAGTTATAGTACAACAGGCAGGCAAGTAATGGTACTTTGTTCTGGAAATTTTTCGCCCCAGTTTTATTTTTCTCATTCTGCCCTCCTTACAAGTAGGTGAATTTAAAATGGGACAAATTCGAAGAAGGCAGCATATATCTTTTAAACACAAATGTGTCTGATCAAATTTGAAAAGGGCAAAATTGTTTTCAAGGGTGAAAGAGAGAATATTTTAAAAATTAGAATGGGGTGAAAATATCCAATAATACAGGTTATATGTATTAACACAGTACATATGCATTTCTCTTTTCTTTATAATGAAAATAATTTGTTCTGTAAAAGGACAAATTTTGTTCTGATTTGTATCAAATAAATAAATATGTGCCAGATTTATTATTTTGCAGGCACCTAAGTTACCATCAGTTGTGTGTCAAGCTGTGCAAAAATTCTATGTCATGTTACAGAATCTTTCTTAAATACAGGTATATGTCTGCTCATCTGGCAATCTTAGGACATCACTGGATGGTTTTGTTTAAAAAGATTACAGAGTTAACACACACTTCCAGCATGAAGACCAGCCAGTTGCCTCACCTGTCCTGACGTTGTTAAAGGTAAATGGTCCTTTCAGAAAAGGATCTGACAATGCAAAGGCTTGCTAATCAATTAAAGATTTCTATTTACTAATAGGTAATTAATTTGAATTTCTGTAGCTTAAAAATTTAATGATATGAATTTAAAAAAAATATTTTAATCAAAATTATTTTTATTTCAGTACTTTGTGACAGTGAAAAGACATGGCTTTAAATTACTGTATCAGAGATCAATCCAGGTTATAAATCTGAGGAAAACAATAAAGCATCCACTTCGAGCTACTTATATCACTGCCTTAATAAGATGTCTGCATGTGTAACTAACAAAGGACAGTGACCAGTTGTAGCTATGATATCAGAGGGCATCCTGAAAAACACTCATCACTAAGAATAGAAAACTTCAAATGACTTTTGTATCAATCCTTTTGAATTTCTTCTGGCTTGGAATTTCAGTAGCCTTTAGCATCCTTCAAGCATTTCATGAAGTACATGTACCAATTTGCAGGCATAAAATGTTTGAAACAGATTGCTTGTCCCAAATAAAAAAAAAATAATTTCTCTGCCAATTAACAGTGTCATAAGCAGTTGATTGATATCACAGTTCCACTGGCATAGTATTTGTGGTTGAATGGTGCCATTTTTTAAGAAAACTTTTCACAAAAACCTGGAAAACATCAGATGGAAAGGAGCATCTACAAGAAAGACAGTTAACACTTTCTTGAATATTAACAATGATATATCATGCCCATTTACATCCTTTATATAAACTAATTAACCTAATCATAGAGAATTATGTACAAATTTGTCCTTTTGTGTATTTATAGTGTATTAAATTGATTTTACTAATTTATAAATATTTATGTTTTTCACAGTCATTAACATTTACAAATAGAAGTACATATAACATAAAAATATTACATGTTTAGTAGGATAACGTGAAATTGTTATACCACAAAAACCATCGCTGACCTCACCTCGGTCAGCAATGGTTTTTAAGGGGTAAGAATTTTACATCACCCAAAATAAACAGGTAATATTTTTCTTGTCATAAAATGCATTTTAAAGAGAACATCAAGGTGAAACAAATGTGCAAACATTCTGCACAGTTAACATTTTTTATTACTGTATATACTGTTACCCGTAGTCATGCATTTTCAACCATTTGGGATGTAATGTTTGGCATACAGTATGGTAATAGTACTTGTTAACAAATGTTTTTTAAACCAATCAAATTTGACTATTTAACATGAAAGTGTATCATAACAAATTTATCTAGCATAATGGTGCTGTAAGTAACCATGGAATGTGAGCTTGTGTGAACTTGATCCTGAATTATTATGTTTTGAATATTGTAAAAGAAATGTGCAGCCAAAACTTTGACCTGTACCTGATTTAAATGGAGTTCCGTCATTAACAACTTGGAAGTTGGAAGTTGTCACACTCTTCACTGGGGGATCTGCTTCATTTGCAGATACATGGATAACACATTCACTCAAAGCACTGTCCCTTTTTCAGTACCTTGTGCAGCCCTGTAATATATAATGACAAATGGAGAAAAATGCCTATTTCAAGAAAAAAAGTCTGTCTCATAATTGTAGGATTATTGGCAAGGGGGGGGGGGGGGGTCATGAAACTTGACGGTTAATACAGTTTGTATGTGTAAATGAAAAAAATGCCTTCTTCTTTGTAGAATAAAAAATGATTATTTTTTGAGTGTGTGTGACCATTTTTATTTCCGAATAGACAGGGCAGCTTATAGCCTACAGAATGAGCTGACCATTTTTATTTATTGTAGTAATTTAAAAAAAAAAGAATGTGTTTTCTACAAAGATCATATGTTATAGACGTGGTATTCAACTTTGTATTCCCATGGTCGATGCATTTGGGTACATCTATTTTTTTTATTTGCTTTCAATGACATCGCATTCAATATCCCAAACTCATGTATACCTGTCCAATACTCCAAATTATACCACTGTAAGCTAAGTCAATGCTTTAAATTTATGAAACCAATCTGTAGATAAGCGTACCTTTTGAATACAGACGATTTTAGCATAAAAACGATTTAAATTTCCCTTTCTGCTTAAGTATGTTGGCTAATCTTGGCCCCCTCGGAATAGCTTGTGTTTACGTTATGTAATGAAAAAATAAAGCAATTAAACGCTATTTACCTGCATCTATCAATCCACTTTCTCCTCTTCTTTGCAACAATCGGGGATCAAAACAAACTACAAGTTTAATAATTCCACTGCGATGCTTACAACTTCAGTAATCCATTGTCTCCAAGAACGCTCAATAACCCGGGAGTTATAAAACGAAAGTGAAAGTCAACGAGACTTACAGACCCTTTGAATTTTCCTATAGTATACATGATAGATAAGTGTAATAAATATAATTTGTGAGCAAAACAAACAACAAATTCTACTGGGGTGCTTAAAACTAAATGCGAAGCTGTAATCCATTGTCTGCAAGAATGGTAAGTTATAAAACGAAAGTGAAAGTAAATGAGAATTAAAGCTATAGTCTTTGGAGCAGTTGTTATTTCATAAATAATTTGAATAGGTGATATCACCTATTTGAATAAGTGATATCACCTATTCAAAATGATTAAGTGATATCACCTATTCGAATAAGTGATATCACCTATTCGAATAGGTGATATCACCTATTTGATTTGAATAGGTGATATCACCTATTCGAATAAGTGATATCACCTATTCAAAAGGAATAAGTGATATCACCTATTTGAATGGGTGATATCACCTATTCGAATAGGTGATATCACCTATTCGAATAAGTGATATCACCTATTCGAATAGGTGATATCACCAATTCAAATCGAATAGGTGATATCACCTATTCGAATAGGTGATATCACTTATTCGAATAGGTGATATCACCTATTCGAATAGGTGATATCACCTATTCAGAAGCTGAATAGGTGATATCACTTATTCGAATAGGTGATATCACCAATTGAATAGGTGATATCACCTATTCGAATAGGTGATATCACTTTTTGGCAGTAAATACCAAAACGGCGCCTCATAAACTCATGACTGTTAAAACACCCCCCACCCCGGCCATTCAATAACAGCGTGCAAGACTGCCATGCACAACAATTGCAGCTTGATTTCTACAATGCAGTAGGTTCATCGGTCTCGAGATCTGAGCGAAAGAAACATTCTTTGCCATTTTTAAATGCCTGTTTTTAAGATGACGAGGTCGAATTTCCTCTAGCCTAGCGCAGTGTAGTAACCCTTGGACTTCCGGTCCAAGGACTGTCATTTATGCTAATGATACGTAAGAGCCTCTTGAGGCGTGATGTATATTGCATATTTGTATCTGCAACTCTCCATCACCTTTATTTTGAGATTTTCCAGCTAGAGCAATGAAAATGCGTACTTAAGTCATTTTCAGGAAGCCTTGGCATAGCTTACGGAAAAGAAAGGATAATTTATTTTTCGGAATATTGGTGCATTACTTATGATGAACAGATACAAACCATTAAATAAAAGTCCATATTATTGCCAAATGTTTTGTTAAACATGCAATTTTTGATTTCTGTTAAGCGGACTCAAACTTAACTTCCGGTAATGGTATGAAAATCATTCAACCGTTAAATTACCGATATTTACAAAGTTGAAGATATCCTTACTTTTTAGATACAAAATTATATCCTATATATAATATTTCCCCCTAAAGTAGGATGTTGCGTTTCTTTTGCGTTTCAGTATATTTATTTGATATATTTTGAAACTTCAGTCCATTATTATTAATTTTACTTACATTCGAAATTTTCTTTTCGTCTCTGATTGTTTAAAAATTTTAAACTAAATTCATTGCTCTATAGTAATTTTGAGAGGCAGAAAAGGAGATATTTTCATATGCCGCTGTTCCGCCAAAAATATAGTCCCTGCTAGATTTCAAACTCAGTTTACCATTTCTATTTTAAGTTGTACAATTATGATGGGGAAAGAAAAATATGATCTTTTAAATCTCTTACATGTAAATATATAAGACATATAAGCAAATTACTTTGAATATTTCATCTAGTCAGAAACCAGACAAGAACCCCTCCTTAAGTTTGAAGAAATATCATTAATATATAATAGGAACAAGAAAGGTCCGAGAACAGACCCTTGGGGAAACCTGAACTAGTTGATACAATAGCTGATGCATAACCATCAAGGACCACCCTTTGTTTTCTATTTGCCAAGTAATTTTTAACCCAGTTTACAATTTGATCCGATATTCCAATTTCCCTTAATTTAAATAAGATTCCTTCATGCCAAACCCTATCAAAGGCTTTATATATGTCACAAAACACAAATCTTACATCCCGCCCTTTATCAAGATTGAATATAAAAGCATTATAGATTTCCACCAACTGATTAGTGGTTGAGTCACCTGAGTGTTTGAAAAGCAGACTGGAACTTATATAGTAAATTATTTTCAAATATATAGTTGTGTAGATGCTTGACAATATTTTTTTCTATTAATTTTCAAATAACAGATGTTACTGATATTGGTCTGTAGTTATTGACATCATCTGCATTTTCTTTATTTTTATAAGCAGGTGTGACCTGGGCAATTTTCCAAATGTTAGGGAGTGTTCCACTGCTAAGTGATATATCAAATAATTTTGTCAGAGGCTTATGGATTGTTATCTATGACTTTATTGCATGTATATCGGTAAATATTAACAAAACCAAGTGTGTATGTTAAGCCTTAGAGTTGAAATCGATCTTAAAATTTATAATTAAGATATTACAACGGTAAATGTGTTTTGTAGAATGACTGATAGGTGTAAATATTGTGTATACGCATGTCGCACGGTCAAGTCCGACGTAAAGCTAATTTAATGATAACGTCAAAAATACGGGTTTTGATTTTTTATTACATGCTCAAGGACACAAGCTACATTTTCTTTATTATATATAGACCATAATTGATTTTATTTTTAAAATTCAAATTGATAGACGATAATTTACGAGCGTCATCGGTATAAACATTTCGAGTTGAAGTTCAAGTTCAGTTTATATTCACCCAAATCAAAATATTGGTACAGTTACGGATATCAGTATGTGAACATTTTCGGGGAGTATGTTTCAAATATATTTTTCAACTGAATATGAGAGAATTAAAAATCAAAAACAGGTTATTATTGATTAGATAATATATTCTAAACTTGTAAATAAGCACATTGAACACATAAATAAGCACATCTTGAAATTTATAATTGTTTATAGCTTCCTCAACCTCACTTTCCAGGCGAAAAAACGTGGATCTTTTCCCTACAGGAACTGGGGGGGTTGTATCCATTAAAATATGAGCTGATTTAATCCATATCTCATCTTTTTCAGAAGACCACTTATATGTTTCTCCTTATTTGCCCGCTTTGGTCATGAAATTCATCTGACCCTCCTGCTCTTCATCATCCCTCTCTGTAACTTTGCCAATATACCACTGGTGAGAATAAACGGCAGCAACGAAAACATCAACAGCTGGAATTTGGCATACAGCCTCATTTATTTGAACTGTTTTTCTCATCTGTGTTTCTTTACACTGTAAAAAATAAGTGTTTTAAAAATAAACACCAATTTGCCACAGATAATAAACACTTTAACACGTTTAAAATTTAAACACTTCATGAAGTGTTTAAGAAATAAACACGTTAGAATGTTTAAATTCTAAACACATGGGGTTTAATATTTAAATACTTCCTTCTCATTCTGTTTAAATACTAAACACTTAAAAACACAAAATGTTTAAAGATTAAACACTGAATAAACACAAGGAGTTTACTAAATAAACACAGTACGTGTTTAAAATTTAAATATTTCATGTTTTATTAATAAACACGTTCAACCTAAACACTTAAACACTTAAACATGTTTATTCGATGCAACAGATAATAATCACTTAAACATGTTTATATGTCATTTTTTAAACACTTCAACGTGTTTAATTTACAAAATAAATAAACACTTAAACGTGTTTATAAGTTTTCAACATTTTTATTTGAAACAAACATAAAACAGTACAAAACACATTGTTCTTGATGATGAACATGTACATAAAGCTTAATTAATAAGTGATTTAATGTTGAATAGAGATTCAAACTTTATAAACAATTATAATATTTATCAACACATTTGTTAACACACACATGTAGATACATAATTCAATTCAAGTTGAAAGATAGAATTATCCCCCCCCCCCCAAAAAAAAAAACTAGCATGAATATGTAAAACCTGCATGTAAAATTCAATAAAATTGGTGCCGGGGGCGGGCGGGGGGGGGGGGGGCTGGAATAGAAAAATTGCTTAATAAAATGAAATATTATTTTTTCAAGAATAAAATTTTGAAACTTTATTTTAAAAAAGGGACAGGGCGTCTACTTTATCTTTTTTAATAAAACAAACAAATTCATAATTAAATATAATGCACAAAGACTGAAAATGTTATTTATTGCCTGGGTACGGGATATATACATTGTGTATGTATTGCAGTTAATAAATCCAGTTGTACCGGTATAATTTTACTTTCACTAATATTCAGAGTTTTATCCAAATGAAGAAAATTTCCAGTTTTTGCCTGTAAACGACTAATTCATTAAATATATTCTTGCAACTTCACAAGAGCTGCCGGGGTATCACTCACTAAATTTCGTATAATATTCTAACCGAGTTAAAAAGTCTCCTCTGCTTGTGTGTAAAATTCAGGTTCTTCAGCCACGGATGATGATCTCCAGTTTTCCATTCTCCAAAATTTTTCTAATTCCTTCTTCTTATCAGAAATATCCTGAAAAATAGATAGATAAAAATATTCACTATGCAAATTCAGAAAATTATCTGTAAAATAATACATTGAGATAAAAAATAATAATTTGTTATCCTTTACGCCAATTTTAATTATATAATTAAATACATACTGAGAAACAAGTTTGAAATAAAAATCTGCAACACAAATAAATCATATAAACATACAAACAGTGTATACACTAAAAAATTAAATATTAATGTACCTGCAGGAGCAGCCCAACAGCAACAATTAAGAGAAGGGGGGGGGGGGGCTACCCAAGGCATTTTCTATCATATGTAAACAACACTCCCCAAAAATATAAAGTCTCCTTATAGAATACAGGCAGGGGATGAAAAGTGTTGTTGTTAACGCTTATGTGTTAAGTTATGTATGGTCAGCAAATAATCATAATAATGCGTGATAGGGAGCATATTTTATTAAATTTTATCAAGG